TATATATATATATATATATATATATATATATATAAGAACAATCGATATTTACATACTTTGCCCATAAATATTGCATATAAATATTTTTATGCCCTGGCCCTCCCTGCTGACCACAGGAGTTTGTCACAGGAACCATCACTTGCCTGAGCACAGCTCCTGCTCAGAGCATCACGCCCAGAAACTGGGCTGGAAAAGGAGCAGTTTCAAGGAAGGGTGAAGCTCAGGTCACAGGCAAAGGCAATGATTTTGCTCAGTGCACACACATCTGACTTGTGAGCCAGCATCCTGTCAAGCCTCATTGATTTTAATAACTCAGGAGCACTTTTCCAAGCCATTCCCCCGCAATTTGAAACAAGTGTATTTCGAAGGAGCTGGAGCAACAGTGTAGGACAACTTTCAGCACTGGGACCACCCCCAGGTGTGAGAGCAGGAGCAGCACAGCTGAACCCACCAAGGCAGAGCCATCACCACCTCCCTCCTGGCATGGGCAGCTGCTGGGCTCCCAAGTCTCCTGGGAAGGAAAGCACAGTGAGGTGACACGGTGGCAATGTCCTGCTGTGCCACCACACCACACAGCTGAGCCCTGAGCATCCTCCAGCCGAGACACGGGGATTCCCAGCAAAACAGATCACACAGGCACAGCTGGACTTAACTTTTTAAATCCACTTTTTTACCCTGCACTGAATTTTTCAGACTTGTCCAACACAACTGAAAAAGCTTCTAAGCAGAGCTGCCACCAACCTTTTACTGACATAGATCTAGTGCCTACAGCCAATGCCCCCATGATGGGTGTTCCTCCTGCTCCTCCTGGGTTCTCCAACCCAGCCAAAACCTTGAGGTGCTGCCACCCACAGCAAGAAATTCACTCCAAGCTGACCACAAAAAAAAAAAATCAACTGACCACAAAAATCAAAGTCAAAAGACATCTAAGAACTCAAATTTCAAATAGCAATTATATCCTAGGCTGCTAATAAATGGATTTTCTAATGCAGTACTACTACATTCTAGTACTATGAAATTACATTACAAAATCTGCTGGAAACACAAGTTCTAGTAGATTCAGACTTTTTTTGTTTTGTTTTGTTGTTGTTGTTGGGTTGGTTTTTAAATTGAGCTAGTAATTTTTAATCCAATTGAATTAGATATTTTCTGCTCTAATAGGTATCAGACTTTCAAGACATTGGTCAAATTCAATATTCCTGTTTACACTCGGGGCTCAAGCCCCCTGAGACAACACTCAATAACCCCCAATGCTGCTGCAGCAAGGTCCACAGAGAGCAGGAACTCAATGCTGTGAGCACAGGAAGCAAAAGGCTCTTGAAAAACAGGACCAGAAGGGATGAGAGAACAGAAACACAGAGAAATAATGAAGATGGGAAGACACAACAAGACTGCAGCACTTTCCTCACCAGCAGAAACTTGAAGCAGCTGTTTGTATGTTGGCTCAGAGGTTTGGGAGGAGTGAGCAGAGAGGGGATGGGGATCCCACCATGCACGGGTCAGCAGGAGAAGGGGGTGAGGTGCTCCTGTCTAGGACTGCTGGGGACAGGGGACCGTGCAGGAGTGACAGC